CTCTCTCTCTCTCTCTCTCTCTCTCTCTCTTTCCCTCTCTACATTTAAGTAACAAAAATAAGCTTAACAAAAAAAAAAAGCAAATAAATTTGATGGATTTTAGGAAACTGCTTGTTTTTTTCCGAACATTTATTGTTTTTTTTTTGATGTCGTTGTTTTTTTTTTGCAGCTCTCTGAGTGTTTTGCCTTGTGCCTTTCGTTTTTCATTTTTCACTTTTCTTTTTTTTTACTGTCATTTTTGATTGAAATTTAAATTGAAAATTTCAATATAAGTAGAATAAGTGGTAAAGAAGTGGATGAATTAAATGGGTTTTATTAAAAAATTTTTCATTTTTGAAAGAAATGATGTAAATTTTAAAAATTGAATAATAATATACAATATGGAAAGTTCTTTTTCTCACTGTCCCTCTCTCTTTACCAATGTATCAAATTTAAATTTTTGATAAAACAAATTTAATTTGATCATTAAGGATGAGACAGCGAGAGTCAGAGAAAGAGAGAAAGAGAAGAAAGAAGAAAGGAAAAAAAAATGAGCATAAATTTTAATATCAAATAGCAGTACATCATATAAAAATTATTTAAATTTTATCACTGAAAAAGGGAGACAGAGAGAGTTAGAGGAACAAAGAGAGAGAGAGAGAGAGAGAGAGAGAAAGAGGAAAAAAGAAACAGAATGAATAAAAAGAAATTTTTCAATATAAATTTTTACACTAATATAAGCCACAAAAATTGTTTAGAAATTCAAATTTTGATCATCAAAAAGATGACTGAGAATGAAATCAAGCAAAACAAAGAAGGAATGAAAGAGAGGGAGAGAGGGAGAGAGAGAGAGAGAGAGAGAAAAGGAAAAAAGAAATTGAGACGAAATGAAGAAAGAGAAAAAAAAAGTTTTCTTTCCTTTTTTTTTGAGAAAAATTTTCTTTCATTTTTTTTTTCTAATACAAACCTTAATATCAATGATAGTATATAACATGAAAATTGTTTAAAAATTTAAAATTTGATACATTAGAATGATGTGAGGCAAAAAGGGAAAGAGGGAGAGAGAGAGGGAGAGAGAAAGGGAGAGAGAGAGGAGATTTGAAAAAAAGGGAGAGAAAAAGGAAAATGAAAAAAGAAAGAATGGGACAAAAAGGAAGATTTATGAGAGGATTAGTTAAAGGTGGTAAGAAAACAAAAATTTTAGCCTATCCAATCACCGCTATATTCTCATCCTAAAATTTTCTTCATCTTTCATCTTTTTTCCCATACACACAGTTATGTATACATAACGTATACTTACTTATATATAAACGACGATTACTAAATGTTTTCACATTTTGAAAAATTATCATTTTTTTTTAATCACTTTTTGATTAATATTTTTATAAAAAAAGTCACATTTTTTAAAATCAATTTTTGATTAATATTTTTTTGTAAAAAAAAGTCAATTAATGATATTTACTTTTGTTATTTATTTGTTCACTTTTTATTATTTTTTTGATATTTTTCTTTTTTTTTAAAATTTTCCATATCTGTTATCATTTCATTTCCCATGATTGTAATTCTTTGTCTTTGTAAACAAAAAACAAATCAAATTTTTCACTTTTTTTCAAACGTTCCATAAACCCATTCGTATATATATATATATAACTCAAAAATAGTAATATAATGATGCATCATCAATTGTCATTACAATGCCACCGCCATTATCACTATCACTGTTATCACCACCACCACCACTACCATCACCGCCACCGTTGTCATCATCACAATTACCACCGATACCGTTACTATCACTATTATCATTATCATCAGAACAGTTACGGTCACAAATGCTACCACCATCACAATCACAATCACAACTACAATCACAACCACAATCACAATCACTATCACAATCACGATCACGATCACGATCATCAGTTAAAGTTTTGATAGGACAAAAGCAAAAATTATTTTATGGATATCATTCGGAAGATGCGGAAAATCGTTTAATGCAAGTAAGAAATTTTGATTTTTACTTATTTTTACTTAATTAGTTTCTTTTTTTTCCTTCTTGAATGATTAATTTTTTCAAAATTATTCTCTCTCTCCCACTCTTTCTGTTTTCTGTCCCTCTCCCTCCCTCTCTCCTTCTGTGAATATATAATATGAGAGAAAAGGTTTTCATTTAAATCTCTTTTTTTTTTTGATCCAAATAACGCATTTTAACACATTTGTTAATATAGGCTTAATGCCTAAAATGACAAATTAATAATTTATACATTTTTCAGAACTTTTAAATAATACAACTGATGAATTGATTTTTTTTTCTTTCATCAGAATATTAAATGAAAAAAAAAAGAAATTAAAAATTTGCAATTATATTTTCTCTTTACACTTTTTTTTTTAATATATGTTTTTAATTAATTTTCCACTAGTAAAAATTTAATTGTTAATCTTGAAGTTGTCCCAATTGTGGTTGCTCTTTTCAACAGGATAAAAAAAGAAAATTATGAAAACGTAAATTACACATTTCTTGGCTCAAAATTACTCTCAAGGGGTCGTATTTTTTTTTCTCCCTTTTTTTTTTTGTTCATGAAATTTCCACTGAAAACAATCATTATTATGAATGAACGGGAATGATGTTAGTTCAACAAAAATTTACGTCTATTTATTTCATCATTATTTGGTTGCCATTTTAGTGCAATTATTATTCAACTTTGTGGTAAAAGAAAAAAAAAGAAAAGAAGGAAATAAATAATATATTTGAGAAGTTTTAAAGCCAAAAAAAAAGGAAAAAATTTTTTTTCAAGATGAAATCTTTTTAAGAATCAAACTTTTGTAATTATTATAATTATACAGAAATACTTACATAATTGCTATAATTTTATGTTCATTTCAACATTATGTTTATTTATTTATAATGATTGCATGTATGCATTTTTTTTTCGACATTTTCAGTTTAATCAACCATTACATTTCCGTTCAATCCATAATTTCCTAAAACTTTCAAAATTTCCCAAGAGAATTTTTGTTCACATTTTATTTTTCAAAATTTTTTTGCTAATGTATAATTACAGCGTAATCTTTTACTAGTAGTTATGAAAAGGTCAAAAATATGCCATTACAATTAATGATTCGCATTCTTTCGCTGTGTTGCATTAATTTGCAACGAATCAAATTCAATCATAAATAATTGAAATATAATTTTGGTTTAAAAATAAAACAACGCTATTATTTCATATCATTCATTTCGAAATTTTAGACAAATGATAAGTCAAAATGTTTATAATAATACAAACCGATATTGTTAATGTATCAATTTTCATCAAGCCAACTGTTACATTTCGAATTTTTGATCACACTAATCGATAAGTTCCCGAATTTTTGCAACCAGCAATTAATCGATTAATTCGAATCTTTTTGCTTTTTAATGAAATCAACCAAAATTTCTCAAATTTTGATCGTGCTTCGTATGATGTAATTTTTTATTTCATCGATAAGCTTTCTTTTCTATGATTTAACAGAATTTCACATATTATGCCTTAGCACTGCTTGACAATAAAAAATAGAAGCCGTAAATAGCATTTAATCATTAATATTTCTCGGGTAAATCCAAATTTATCTAAAGAAAATTGAAATAGAAGAAAAAAAAAATGGAAAAAAGCCTGCTATTATATACATCCTGACAATATATTTTTGAGCCTAGTTTAGGATGTGATTGAAAAGATCCCACTTCGAGCACGATCTCAAAGTTGGCTTATTCGAACTCGTCATATGCTCGATAACACACAGGTGTGTTAGATATTTTTTTAATATTTGTATGAAAAAATCAAAAAATGTCCATCTACTTAATCTGCAAGTGGAAATTTTTTTGAATAAATTATATCAATGCATTGAATATATCTATATAAGTGAGTAAATTATATGCAATAAAAGTCAATCGAATATTTCAATTTAAAAAAAAAAATTTCCTAACATAATTTTTAAATTTCCAATCATATATGGAAAAGTGTATATATTAGATTGATGTAAAAGTAACTTCGATTTTTGCACGCATAAATAGAACGAAATTCTGCGTATATTACGCACTTTAAGCAAATTGAAAAGATGAAAAATCTCGATAAGCGGACAATCAATAAGCTAACCGACAATCAAAAGTTTAACGTTTTTACATGTCATCTTTTGGTAATCACGTAGCTGTAGTGAGTCATTTTTTGATGAGATTGTAACATCCGAAGACATATCATAACAATAAACAACAACAATGGCAGTCATCTCGATGAATGAGCGGAGAGACGTTTCCCAAAGTCGAAATTGCAAAACGATGAGGTCATTGGTCACTGTTTACGCTATTTCAAATTTTCGAATGTTATGCAAAATTGTCAAATCTGAGAAGTTTACATAGCATAATCGATAAGCTGACGACTTCGTTATCATCATCCGACATCGGTTAACAAAAACGACTTCTCAATTTTATTCCAACAGCAACGCCAATGTAAACGTCGAACAATCAGCGTTTCAAAGTTGAACGGATTGACCGTCCCAATTCAGCCACATCCGTCGTATTAACCTTTCTCATCAATCACTTCCTCAATTATCATCACCAATCTCGAGAAGTTCATCGAGAAATGCTTTCGAAATTAGCGAAAAAAAACAAATATCCTCCAAAAAGTTTGTCGAATCTCACAGTACAAATCGCTATGCTGCAACACAAACAGCTTAATCTCTGTTAACAATGTATTACTTGTCATAGTTACTATTTTGATCGACAAAAATATTTTAAGCGCAAATTCAAATAATTTTAAATTCGTATTTTGAAAGTGTAATTATTGCATCAATTTACTAATTATTGAAAAAGGAAAATTATTTAAATATTTGTTCAAATTTTTTATTTTTAATTGTTTCAATATTAAAACAAAAAATATTACACAAATATACTTCCATCTTTTATTACATCAATCCATATATGTCATCGTCGATTCATATTTCATTACTCAAGAATTATTCGAAAATAATATTTCAAAATAGTATGATATATTAGTAATTCATTCGATTTTTCTAGTTTTTCTTAGCTAATTATTACTACAAGTAATGGCCTGATTAATTGTCTTGACATTATCATTTCAACGAAGCAGAATTGAATAATTATTTATCAACCAAATAGATGGTCTGATAAGAGGTGAGAATTATTAGAATGTCACCTAAGAAACCGTAACAGTCCTCCATTGAAAAAAAAAAGAAAATATGACAATAAATTTAAGGTAACATTAATTTCATTACCATTTTTTCATTTATAAGTAAAGTATGCTAAAATTTCAGTTAATTTAATTTTAATTTGTTTTTTCTTATTTTTTCTTTTCTTTGAAATAAAGATTGAATAAATGAAAGTAAAATAACTTTGTTTTCTCTTTAAAGAATCCATTTTTGTGGCATTTAGCAAGTAAAATGTTGAAAGCATTTTTTAAAGCTAAATTAACATTTTTCTGTTTCATTTAAATCATTATTTTGCATTGATTGTTGAAATTTTCTTCTCAATAAAAAATTTGTGCTTCAAAAAAAGGAAAAAAAAATTTTTTTTCGTAAAATATCAAATTGTCTCTTTCCGTCCCGGTTGCCTAATATTTATGACTTTATTCGCAGTGTTTAAAACCTATGTAATACTTTTTCATATCATTAATGTTCAGCTTAAAAGTTCGTTTTTTTTTCAACAATTTTTAACTTTATTTTAAGCATTGCTTAGCGATGACATATGTGAATATTACTTGACATTTCACTGTCAAGTACTGAAATTGGGGAATGAAATATTTTTTTACTATATTATCAATTATGTGAGAAAATCATTGAACCAAGATTTTTTTTTAAAAATTATTAGTATGAATTCTTTTTTTTGTCAAAATTTAAAAGTTATTAGTATGAATTCCCGCAAAATTCAGGATTGAATAAGATAGAAAGTTATCATATCAATAAATTAAATATCATAATATTTGGTATTTTTTTTTTAATATACTATTGAAATTATATTTGAAATATTCCAGAAATGTGTTATTTGACAAGCCAAGCTTAGAATTTCAAATTGCTTATAAGATTATTGCCAACTTCATAATTTGATTACAATTTTATTTATGGATATTGGCATATTCCAAAAATATTTCATTTCAATCAGTGTTTTAGAGAATGATACTAAAAGGGAGGAATCAGAAATGAGTGAATTTATTAGCAAAATAAGAAAGCCACGAAATTAATTAATGCCAAAAATGGAAAACAAATTTAGCTATGTTGTAAACATGCATGTTTACAAAATCATAGTTTAGTAGCATTTATTTAATCTTTTCCAAGGATTTATCATTGTTATCATTTTACAAATTTCACAACTAATTTCAACAAAATATTAATTAAATAAGTTATTTTTAGCGACAACAAAAAAAAAATAAATAAACAATCATATTATTTTCTCTAACATATCGCATTTTTTTATTTTAAAATATTACACCTTAATCTTTTATGCTTTCTTATTAAATAAATGAAAAGATACAAAACTTTTTTAGGAAAGCAAAATATAGCAAGAGAGAGAGAGAGAGAGAGAGAGAGA